ACACTGTCCGAATTAAGTTTCTTTGGAATGAGCGTAATGAACGCATGATTAACCCCATGTTCCCAAACCCTGCCCAAATAAAAATCTTGAAAAAACCTCAAAACATGCTCCTTTAGAGTCGGCCAGCATTTCTTGAAGAAGCCCATTGTGAAGCCATCCGGACCTGGAGCTTTAGAGCTGTCCGAATAGGCTATTGCTTGCCAGATTTCTTGTTCATTGAACTGCTCCTCAAGTTTTGTAGATTGACTTTCTGTCAGCTTGGCGAAATCCAGAGATAAAGCTTCCACTTCCATTATAGACTTGTAGCTATAAGCATTCTTAAAGTAGTTCGTAATATGTGCCTTTATCAAATCCGGGTCTGAAACAACATAACCATTAATCATCAGACTTGTTATTTCGTTCCTCTTGCTCCTGTTTAACGCAGACAGATGAAAGAATCTTGTATTTCTATCCCCATCTTTTATCCATTTTGTCCTAGATTTCTGAAACCAAATACTTTCTTCCACCCTATACAACCTCCAGAGATTCGTTCTGAACTGAGACAACTGATCCCATTCCTGCTGTGAGAGAACAACGTCTTGTGCCTTAAATTCTAAATCCTGGATCTTCAATTCCAACTCTGAAATAGACTCTGCAATCCCATGAAACTTACTGCCAGACCAATTTTTTATTGATTTTTTTGTACCTTGTAAAAAACTGAAGAATCCCCTTCTGCTCTTACTCCCCCTCCAATTTTCCAAGGACGATTGAACCAACTCCTCAAAACCTTTCTCCTCTAGAAGATAATTAAAAAATCTGAACGGTTTAGGACCCCAATCTACTGTTTTTTCCTCCAATAAGACAGGATTATGATCAGATAAAGACCTAGGTAATAGGCTCTGCACGACATTCGGAAAATATCAATAGGGAGATCTATTAAGTTAGTTTGCACCAGAAAATTTCTAAGAATATCAATAGATAGCCAATTCTGAGACTTTCCCAACTTCTCAGTCGGATCAAGATACACATTTAAGTCACCCCCAATGCAGACTGCCACGGTTTGAGCAGCGACAAAATCCAACAACTCCCTGAAAAATTCCTCCTTTTCTGAATCAATTGAAGGACCATAAACATTAATAATCACACACTCTTCATTTGAATTCTTAAATCTTCCAAAAACTGCTATGAATATGCCCGTTAAATGGCTATTTGAAACTTCGAAAACCATATCATTCCACAAGACCAACAGTCCACCTGCCGAACCCACTGTTGGAACGAAAGTTCCTCCATTAAGAAACCTTCCACCTAACCTCCTCCACAATGCCTGAGAACAACAATCTAACTTAGTTTCTTGAATGAGAAGAATACATGGCTTATGCTTCTTAACCATATTTGCTATAGCTCTAGATTTCTCCTTTTTACCCAAGCCCCTGACGTTCCATGAAATTATCTTAATCTTCATCATATATACACGAAAAACAGAAAATCCTCGGAGTAAAGAAATAAACCAGAAACCTATTCCCCCGGGCCCATCCCTTCCCTATCTTTAACCAAGCCCTCCTCAAGATTAATAATTTTTTCCAAGAATATCTTCTTCCCCTCTTTGAATGAAATCCCTAGAATTTTACTAACTTCCCAGGTGGCCAAAGCCTCCTCCAAGAAAATCGAGAAATTAGAGGAAGACACTGTACGAATGCTAGCCACATCCAGAGCTTCCCTAGTCAAGATCCTTCTCCTTCTTCCCTTCTCCTTCCTACCCACTGGATTACATTGGCTCCCAGAACCAACCACTTCTACGCTCTTAGCCTGCTGAAAGTTGTCTCCTGCTGAAATGAAACTGGATTCGCCTTCCACCTCAACCTCTGTGGGACTTCCCTAAAAAATATTGGGAAAAGAATAGTTACTTAGGAAAGGCTTACTGATATTCATGTTTAGATTCATCAACACCAAAGGTTGCACTGCCCCCTCCTCTCTGCTTGGGTTAAACCACACCTTTCTATTTCTAGATCTTCTATAAACTCTAGATATAGCTCCACAACTCCACCTTCCAATCGATGCATTTCTAATGTGCATACTCCTAGACAACTGTTCTAATGGACTCCAACTTCTTAAACCTTTTGCAAAAGACCCTTTGTTATGCCTTGACCCCTGAATGCTACCCGTGGTGACTGTCCTTGCTTCCCTTTCCACCATTGCTTCCTCTACACTGCTTACTTCCTTGGCCAGCACTTCTACCGCCTTTAACATATCTTTATTTGACTCTTTTATAATACCACACGGCTGGGACTGAAATCTAGCCTTGTCCCCATCACTTATCGAAAAAGAGTTATGATCTGATGAAACAGTAACCAAATTCTGCTCATTGGGTTCAAACAAAACATTTTGATGTTGCTCTCCTACTGCCTCCACCCAAGACTCTTTAAGTTTACCATAGCCCAATTTATTTAAAATCGAAGCTGGCCCAGAAATAGAATTGGGCTCACTGGATTCCTTTGACTGGGCTTTATCACTTTCATTAAGAAAGACTTTCCTTAACCCAAGACCTCGAAAATCCCCTTCCAAATTCAAATTTTTTCCAGGAAAGTCTGACACCTGCGCACCACTATGTTGACCTTCATTTTCCTGCGACATTAAATGCTGCCCCCCTTTGCCGCCTGCCAAACCTGCACCATCCACCCTTACCAACCCTTTGCTCCCTGCCTCTGATGTACCAACTTCTCCTACCAGCCTCCTGTCTACTTTGTCCCTAGACTCTACAGCTAGCAATTCTAGACCTCCCACCCCGCCTGAGTACCGATCCTCTTCCTCCTCTGATGAAGCTTCATCTCTGAACCTACCTTCTCCCACCACCATAGAATTATTTGCAGAAAAACTCTCATGTTGTAAACTAACCGATCCCATAGTAATTTTGACCTTAAAAGATCTCCCATACGAACCCAATGTAACAGATTCCTGAATATCGAATGGACTGGCCACCCTCAATAGAACTCGTGCTACCGCCATGTCCTCTTTTCTGATCGTCGACTCATGAAAGCATACCAGCTTCCCCCATCTTAATACAAGTTTTTCCAGAAAGGAAATATTCCAGCAAAGTAAAGGGATTCCAACTAAGTCTATTGAACAAAATGCCATCGGGACACCATCAACATTCATAACCGGATCAAGCCAGTCGAACCAGAAGAACAGTTCCTCCCTCCTTCTTGACCAAGCCTCCTCAAAATCTTCCATCGAACCAAACATTAGGATACATGAATTCCATGTAAATCCCCATTTAGCTCCCTTAACCTTAATCCCCTCACTAGCCAGCCCCTTCACCACTATCTCCAAATCTAAATGAGGTTTGATAATCCCAGTTAAAGATCTTTTCACCCAATTATAATCATCCGGGGGAATATGCATTTCCCACAAATTCCTCATCCCATTAACCATACCTGAGAGACCCTCTCTGGTCCTTTTACTCACTGGAACTTCCCTCCTCCCATCCACAGAGACAACTGCTTCCTTACTCGGTCTTTCATAACTTCCCGCCCTATCATACTCCTCTCTATCATGTACGTTCACCACCTCTTTGTACGTTTTACCGTCCCTAGGGCTATTCGGCTTCTCCAAAACCCCCAGCTGCCTACTTTCCTCCCCTCTCACTTGCTTTTTTACTTCCCCCTGTAAACTTTTGTCGTCAGTTGCTCTTCTCCTTTCCTTCCTATACTTTGCAACCCCCACTGAGACTCTTCTCCCATCTATCAATGTGCCATTGACATTCTGAATCGCTCTTCTACAACCTTCCTCCTTCGCATATTGCACAAATGCAAAAGTCGATGACTTATAATTTGGTTTCACCATAAAACTTGGAATAAAAATCCTTATAACACGATCGTAAATATCAAAGATCTCTCTTAACTCTCTTCTAGTAACTCTCTTACTAAGATTATCTATGAAAACAGTCCACTCCTTATCGGAGGAAGAACGAACTGTCTCAAGCTCTCTAATTCTCTCTCTACCAGTCTCACTCATGTTTCTTTCGTGTTTTGTGGTCAATTTGGAAAACGAGAAATGATATTATTTTTAATAATGAGAAATTGAATTGCGCTTTGCTATCTTTTCTCTCCAGGTACAAAGTGACATCATGGTTTTCTTCAAAATTTCCTAAATTGCTGGTCTCTTTCGATAGTCTTGTGGGGGTTCTGGTGCTAGTTGATCATGTTATGTTCGCTGAAAAGAGGTCTCCAAAGGTAGTTAGTTGGTCTCCACCTCCTACTGGTTTTGTTAAAGTGAAAGTAGATGGTGCTATGGACAGGTGGTGGTCGAAGGGCGACATTGGTGGGCTTATCCGAGATGAGAAATGAGTGATGATGGGTTCGTTCTTTGAAAGAGTGGGATCAGATCCTCCTATTATGGCATAATTGATGGCAGTCAGGAGAGGCTTGAATCTGTTCCTGGATTCGGGTTTGTCGGTGAATCGAAGGGTTATTTTGGAGTCCGATAGTGCGGTGGCAGTGGATTGGATAAAAAATCCAGCTAGCTCCACTCCGATGTTTCTATCCATTGTTAAAGATATTGCAGACATTGTGGTCAATAAAGGGTTCATTGTTCGTCATGTGGAGAGAGTAGCTAATTGTGAAGCGAATGAATTTGTCAAACTAGGGATTGGTTAAATGATGGGGAATTAATTGGGTTGTTGTTTTTCTATTATTGGTTTTATCGGGCAGATTTGGGCATGGTATATGTTTGTATCAGGTTGATTAATCTAGGAGGTAGTTTTTGTGTAGGTAACATATACATGTAGGTAGTGTTGTTTCGCACTGTATTGAGTGGGCTGCCATCGTTTTTGGGCGGTAGTGTGTTCTTATTGTACTGGGTTCTTATGCAATAAAATTTCTAAGGCACTCTTTTCCTCCTTCCAATGTCCGTTGAGTCTTTGTTGCTTGACGGTTAAGAAGGGGGTTTTAATGAGGCCTTCCTTTTTATAAAAAAAACCATTTCTAGAGACAATAATCTCAGTGAATATCAGAAAAATTAAAATCTCATCTAATCAATTGCAATGTAGATAGGTCAAGTGTCTGGAGGGAGAGCTCACATTTGCTTTTTCCTTCAGAATCTCCGCCAGAAGAAGTATGAGGAACTGCTACAGTGTCAGGCACATCCTCAAGTAGTGTCTGCAGGGAAGGTGGACGCAAAGTGCTTCTAGAAGCAGCAGCAATGGCAGCAGCTGATAGTACTGGCTGGTTGTCTCTATCAGCATCATCTTCATCATCAGTTTCTGCTGACAAGTTCAATCCAGACATAGCAGCTGTTGTCAGAGAAAGATCCTCCTCTCTGATAATGTGCAAAACATGCCTCACAACATTACCCACAACAAGCTCTGCCATCACATGCACAATCTATTAACATAGAATGCCAAAACACAAGTATCAACAATTACTAGGTGTTATAGTGCATATTTGACGCAACAGTTATATAAAAACTGAAAAAAACAACTTAACTTCTGAAAACAGCTACAATGAGAAGCTGATAATTTTATATGAAATTTTAAGACAAAGCAAAGGTATTCCAATGCTATAAGAAATACCATTAGTTCAATGAAATGCTTTTTCCAAAAACTTGGTCACTTTTTAATGGAGTTTATTTAGTTGGACTGAAAAGAATTGGAAAGTGCAAGAGATCGCAAAGGTAATATTATGGGGTTAAGATTTTCAGTTCACGTTACAATTTGGGCGTATACAAAACATTTACAGTTCGATTGTATGCAAAATTATTCTCATTTCCTAAATAAAAAGATAGACAAAATTGAGCACATAATGACAGGGTCCTTAAAAAAACAGCAATTCTTACACATACTCCTATAATCATCGAATGTTTCAGTGCTCTAAACCAATGTCTGCCAACAGTCTCCTAGTAAGCAACATGACACAAATGAAACTGAAATCAAATACAAACCAAAAATTTTCGAAATTAAACAGCAAAACCAAATTAACCCAGAAGGGAAAGGTCATCGTACCGACAGGATTTGCAGCAATTAATCGTTCTCCAACAGCTTTAACCGATTGAATCAAAGCAGCAGCGTGGTTTGTATAAGGCACTCGAGTTTGCGAAATGACCGACCGAAGCAGTTCCGCTGTTGCATGTGAACCCTCAATCCTACTGCCCAACCACCCAAACAAAGAAGGGGGTTCATATCTTTTTTTTTCCTTCTAAAATTCATATGAAATGGAAATCAAATGAAATACCTCATCGCTTTTTAAGCTTGTTGATAAAATCAATGACGATAGCTTGGGTGTCTGGCATCTTTCTTTTATCACCAAAATTCACTCCTTCAAAATGCTACAATCGATTAAAAAAAGTTGTTAGTAAGACGATTTTTTTGTTAAAAATGATAAGAAAAAGCTGATTGGATTAATTACTCGGGGAGAATTAGGGTTTATGCGGGAGAGGGAGTTCGTTCAACTTGTCACTGCTATAAATCTATTGCCTTGGTCCGGGAAGTTTTATTTTATTATTCTTTTTCCAAAAATAAAAAATAAAAAAAAGGGTTTGTAAATAGGTCACTGCAATAACACTATAGCCTTGGTTCGGGGTTAACTCAGATTTTCTTATAAGTTAATGATACATAAAAATAAATAATATAGTCCGATTATAGATTCAGAAACGTTCGGCACAAAAAAAGTTATAATTTTTTATTTAGGTGTTTACTTTTTTTTGTCAATCTAATTATCTAATATTATCAGTATTATCATTTAGGTGTCTCAACTATAATAGATGTTAAATTTTTTTTATCAACCCCATCAACCACCTAGGCACCCATCGCCGCCACCACCATTGTCTATCCACCCACTAGAGGGAAAAAAAACTTCATCTTTCAACACATAAATAGCTTGTCGTCGTTGTCTCTCTTGCTGTCTTTTTTGTCGATCATTGTCGCCTTATCATTAAGGTTGTCGTCAGTCGTGTGAATTATCGGATTTTTTAAAACGGTTTTCAAAGTTTTGGGGGATACGTTAGATTCGTCGGGTGAATGATTGGTAGAGTGGAGGTTCCGTGACAACAATGAATCACGGGTTAATGAATGCACTCCGGTCAGGAGTCCAGTTCCAAAAACTCTTTATGCCCATTCTACTATTTCATTCGTAAAATATCCACACACAAAAAATGTTTTTATTTAATCCAAATTTCTAACCGAGTTCAAGATTATTGGGAATTTATGAAATTTACAAGTAAAATGCAAAAGAGCTATATCTCCAGGACCACCATAGCCAACAGTAATACAACAAGAGTTCCATGCATGAGTTTTTCAAACAGCAGAATGTTGACGAATATTTCATGGCGATACAAAGATCAAGATATTACCTTCACTTCATTTCTTTCTTTTCCTCCCACTGCATTTCTATTTCCTAGGTCCTACATCTCTCCGCAATCACCAAAAAGTGGCTTTTCTGTCATCGAGTTTGCCGCAGAAGTTGATTCCATGCATTTGGATAATTTAACAAAGTTTCCTTCAGCAATGCAGTTACTTTTCATGATCCAACTTGAATTTCATATCTTCTCCACGTACAGACATCACACGTAATCTGAAAGCTGAGTTGCAGAAATATTTCACCAAGTTTGAAGCCAAGCAGTTGCTTTTGAATTTTGGAATGCACGAATAGCAAGTTTTTACTTTTTACATTTAAAAAAATATATATTGGTATGGACAACTAATAATTGAGCCACATTGGCCGCAATCAGCTCGCAACAATCAAACATTTTCTACATAGGATGAAAAAGCACTTACTGGTATATCTCGGCACTGTAAACTTAATTCCCCGAAGTAGCTCTTCGTTGCAGGTCAAGATCATCAGCAGAGTAATAATCCGCAATCAGGCGGTACATGTATGATGGATTATGCCCTCCACTGTAAGACATAAATCAATCAGTGATTGCAGGGAAAGAAGAAACTAGAGGACCATGAAAACCAGAACATCTAGAAATGGCTGAAACAGAAAAGCCAAACACATGCAATCTTTTTTACTCTTTTGACCAAGATCAACGTGAATCAGAAAAGACTACGTATTCCATTGCATCCCCACATCATATCAACTTATCAATAATATTCCAAATGCAGAAAAGTAATTAATTTGGCAACTCGAAATGAAATGGTAAACATCAAACAGTTACCAAATATCAAATATGAATGGAGGGGATAGAAGTTCTGAATCTTTTGAACTCCATACAGTCCAATTGAACTTACGTATCAGTTATAAAGGGACTAACAAGCTTTGGTGGCACATAATCAAATGTTGGATTGACAACATGAAGAAGAGGGGCACCAATGCCACTTCCAAAATCCAAGCAATCCGAGAATTCTCAAAAATCTAACAACTCAGATGGAGACCGCAATTCATTCAGCAACACTTCAGGGTGGTGTGGATACAAGGGGCATAACTGTCATGTAGATCACAAATGAATTAACAAAGACAAGCAGTTTCTGTTGATTTCTTTGGAATGAAGCTCGGTCTCAAGAACTAGACCCTGTTATACTAGTTCTTCAAGCTTGTAAACTTAATTTAAAAGCTTACCCTCAAATTAGATGTCTAGATTTAAAGTAGGGGAGTAACAATGTCAGCATATTAAGGAGAAAAACAATGTCCGATGAGAAGCTAGAAAGCTAGAAAGCAAGCACACAAATGTCATGAGATTCTGACGAACTAATGAATTGACTGACATGCAAATCTAGATAGTCATATGAAGCACAATTAGATCATTCCCTTGTTAAAATGCAACAAAACAAGCACCACCTCATATCACTTTGGGCAGACCTGTGTGGCTTACGAGAGGTAACGATAGCTGGGAACCCCCCTTTAAATGAGTATTCGATCACTTACAAGGTATGCATGACCCACTAATATAAAGGAAACTGACAGATAACTGAACATACCCATGTACTCCCTTCTCTATTTTTGAAAACAAAGAGAATGTCCAATAGCTTTAACTTCTGTGTCAAATATAAGGAACCCCCCCCCCTTTCAAATCAACCAACATATGCTATTCCCTCTTTACCTCCCTTTGCTAGGTATAATAATGCTTCTGCATCACACACTTTGTGCTCAACTCTGTCTGATGATCAGATCTGACTGTGGCTTTTTCCAGGTGTTCTAAGCCAAAGCTGAGACCATGGAGATATGAGGAAATTTTTTGATCCATGAATCAAGGTATTTAATTTATGTATGCACAGAAGCTAATAGTTGGGCTGATGCATTGGCTAGAGCAGATACCAAAAGATCTTCAATGCTTATGGTGTGATGGTACGTAGTGTTTCCCTATACACTTTCAAAACTGTATCAAACCAGTATGTTAGTTGTTTATCTTTGATTCAATAAAACTTCAATCTGATAGAGAAAATAATTTTTTTTTGAATCCCATGCGGTACTAACTCCTATTATAGCCCTCTCAAGTTCTATCCTATTAATCACATGCAATAACACCTCAATCTATCAAAATTAACTTATCCAAATAAAAAGAATGGAACCACGAAAAAACAAAAATTCATACATTATAGAGGCATAAATAAGTGCACGAAATGTTAATCTAAGTTGAAGTGAAGAAGAAAAGTGGTTTTACTTATTATTGTACAAAAAATTCTAGAAGGTTGGAGGTCAGCAAACTATTATGCCTAAGTACCTTGTGACTGCCAGCAAGAACAACAAATGGGACAGCATGCTTCTGAGCAGCAAGTGCGACCATGTTAAGCCCAACAGGTGCTATGACCCCACCATTAGCCATAACAGCATGAGCTCCAACAATAACCTTTATGTTTACAAAATCTCAAAATGAAGCTCCAAGAGTGCAAGAAAATGTTAACAATTAGGACAAACTTCACATACCATGTTTACTCTGGAAAATATGGCAAAAACTGCAGAGTCAGTAATTAGCGTAGTCTGCAAACCTCTCATAACCGATTCTTTTGCAAGAAGATGCCCCTGATACCTAAGTTAACACCAAGTATCAATGAAAAAGGGGGAAAATGTTACAGGGAGGATGTAAAAAATGTAGCAGCTTAAAGGATATGTCTTTGCCTAGTAAAACATTTTAGTGACTAGTACAAACCTTGGAGCACCCTCTGAAACAAATACCCGAAATGATCTTTTCTTCTCTTTTGCAGCACAAAGAAATTCCAGCACAGTTCTTGAACTGCCTAAAGTTAATATCACCTCGCTGACAATTTGTTGTAATATTATCAGAAATAGGGTAAGTCAATGTGTGAAATAATCATGGGTAGAAAACAATATGAGAACACAAGCAGGTGTGCTTCAAACCGAAATAAGTCATGCAAAAAATAAACAAAATGGACTACTAGAAATGGCAGGCATAGATCAGGAAGGTTGGCCATGGGACAGAATGTTGTTTTGGGGGTTAAGGAGGGGTAGACAGTATAAGTTTCTAGTTGAAAGTAAATTCAAATAAGCTTAGACTACTAAATATAATTATTGTAATTTGCTTAAAGACTAATCAATGAGTAAGCAGTGTATCACAATTGAGAGAAAACCAAAGAAAATTGAAAAGCTCCATGCAGAGAAGTTATTTTTGATGTATATGCTCTACTGCTTGCTCAGCAATCTGCTCATGTCAAGTGCTAATGTCTTGAATAAGTTCGTTGACAGCTTCAATGACGTCGTGCTTCAGCTTATTCTTCTCGAACTTTTGTCAGCAGCTGCAAAGGAAAATAAAACCCTTAATATAAATACTAAATAAATTCAAATGATAGACTGATTTTATATTAAAGGGTTCCTAATATTTCTATGAGATTTAATATCACGAGGTTATCAGTTATGACCATAAGAAGCCAGTTTTGCACAAACCAATATTTAACCATTTCCAGAGACGATGGGAGGTTTTCAGTGAAATCTTGTCTTAAAATTTTTCTTGGAAGCTCGGTCCGTGGGAAAGAAATGTGTGGGCTGGCATAGCTCCTCCTAGGGTTGAAATTTTATTTGGCAAGTGGTACACAAGAAGGTTGCGGTCAAGGTTGAGCTAATAAAACATGGGGTGCAAGGTATAGGAGATCCATATTGTCCGTTTTGTGGGTTGGTTCAAGAAACAGTTTCTCACCTATTCTTTTCTTGCAAAGTGTCTTGAGGGTTATGGG